TCGATAAAAATTGATAAAACTGATATCGATCGATAACGAGAAGTAGCTTGCGACACCCGCCCCGCTCCGAAGTGTATGTGTGCCAAGTTTGGTCCGGATCGGTTCAGAAATAAAAATTTCTATTCGGAACATACGTACATACATACATACATGCAGACAGACATACAGCTTACAAACAGACACTCAGCTTTATGTATAAAATGCATTAAAATCCCCGCTGGAGAGGAAAACGCAGCTCAAAAAAGCTTCACATCCTGAAGCTTTGGAGTTATGGATTTCATACAGCATATCCATTCCCAAGGGTTGCTGCTACCTCTTACTAAAACATACCGAACAGAAGCAAGAAGTTGAACACGTCACACTTCCCAGTTTTTGTATGGTCCCCTCAAAATCTCCGGCATGTTTCTCACTGGAAACATCCCAAAGGTATATTTCTGACAAGATCGGATGAGTTATCGAATTATTGAGAAAAAAGGCCCTCAGTCTCGACCAGAGGTGCAATAGTGGGAGCCGATTCTCCCCTACCTTCATTTTTGAGCTGGTACAGGGTGACCATCTTCATTGTAATAAAAAATTTTTTCGCTGAACGATAAAGAAGGAAGATAAGCAAAATAAACGCAAAAAAAGATTATTGAGAGCATGTTTTTGTGTATACGGTGGCACATATATTTGAAATAAACGTGTTTAGTAAATGGTGTATTTGGAAGTAAAAGTTAGCGGGACTATACGGATTTTATTAAGTAAATTTTGTTTTAACGTACAGCGAAAAAAGTAGATCGATCCAGGGAGTAACCGCCAAGAACCAGAATTTTGAATAATTAAATAGAGAAAAGTCATGCGAAGTTTCCACTGTTATTAATCTGATGTATGAAGATGTCAGCAATTGCGACATCATAGGATTTCAAGAGTAAATGGTGCTCTATCGGACGGTGAAGGAATCGAGTCGATCTGTGAGATTTTAGCGTGATTAGTGACAGCTGACAGTTAAACTCGTATAAGTCTTGAAAGTAAAAGTGTATGATGTTGCGACTTTATAGGTTTTGTAGAGTGGTCTATCTTATCAGAATATATCTTGGCCGTACCGATCCATTGAAACAGCGCCGAGATCTAAGGTCTTGAAATGAAAAAGCAGGTAAAAAAGCGCTCTTTAAAATTTAATAGCTCATAACTTTTTAAAAACTGCATGAATCATGTTGCGACTTCATAGTTAGATCTTCTCATCGAGAGCTTTCAAACGATATATAATATGTGGGAGTTTTGTGCCTGCTGCGGCTTATGCCCATGGGGGAAGGTTTTTCATCACAAATTCTCCCCCTCCTCCAGCCCACTTCAATGTACTGGGTGGAGGCCGCCAGGGGAGAATTTGTGATGAGTTATTGTCTGATAAGACAGACCTTACTCTACAAAACTTATGAAATCGCAACATTACACACTTTCACATCCAAGATTTATATGAGTTTAACCGTCAGCAGTCACTAAACACGTTAATGGCGTAATTTCTTAGAATCCTGTTTTTCAGCGACTCTCTCAAATCGACTCGATTCTTTTACTATGTGATAGAGCACCATTTACTCTTCAAAACCTTTGAAGTCGCAATTGCTGATATTTTCAAACACAGTTTTATAACAGTGGAAATTTGCATGATTTTTCGTTTCTTTATTATTCAAAATTCTGGTTCTCGGCGGTTATTCCCTAGATCGATTCTTCGCTGTACGTTATAACAAAATTTCTTAATAAAAACGTACAGTCCCGCTAAGTTTTACTTCCAAATACACCATTTACTAAACATGTTCATTTTAAATGATAATCTGCCACGTATCTGCCCGGTTCCACCCAACTCTGCTCCCCTCCCCGGTCGATTATTTTGGAAGGTGAGTGTCCGGCACTACCATTTTGGCCGGTCAGTGGTAGCTGCGACCACCTTCATTTTTGGTGGGCCCGGCTCCCCCATCGCACCTCCGATCTTGACATGTTCATCGCAATTTACGATGACTTCGATACATTTGTTTCTAAGAGAAACAGCAATTTTGGGTTAGATAATCAGTACAACTTCGAAAAGTCTTCATTGAAATGAAGAATGGAAAATAACTTTGAAGAAAAGACGGTCTGCCGCTGATCACCGAGACAGCAAGTGAGAAGATGCACTCGTCCTACTTCTCTCTCCTGCGGACATGTTTGTAATAAAGGGAAGTATGGCATTCGAGAATGGATATCTTATATATAAAGCTGAATGTCTGTCTGTATGTCTGTATGTCTTACGTATGTGCGGAATAGAAATTTTTATTTCTGAACCGATTTGGACCAAACTTGGCACACATATACTTCGGGGCAGGGAGCGTGTCATAGGCTACTTTTCGCTATCGATGGATATCGATTTTATCGATTTTTTGCAAAATTTGAGCTACGGGGCTGGGAGTTGGCACAGAAGGGTAATCGAGCATGCTGATTACGAATATAATAATGAAAGGGCCGGGCGGAGCCGGGTTTGCCAGCTAGTGTTGTATAAAATCGAGAACTCGGATTTTCAGGATATGAAATTTTTACACAAGTTGCGTCCCCTTTTCCAGCGGAGATATTAGTGCATACGGCCCTTAGTACTTACGGTCAAGAGCGGTGCACACGGCTCAGATAATCGCCGGGGGCAGGCGGCCATGCGACTTTTGAGCAAGCGGGTACCGGAAAAATAGTTCGCTGATTTTTGCGGCAAGCTTGCAGAAATATGGAGGAATGTTGACCAACTTTCAGACGAATGCTCGGAGAACTATCGCGGTTTTCCTATAGATTAGTTGCGGCGCATTGGCCGCATTCTCGCGAACTTTCCGCGAAAATATGCAAAATTATTGAGGGCCCCGCGGTCTTTTGTGGAAGACCGCACAGCCCTCAGATACTTTCCGCTAAGAGGAAGTACCTCAAACTTGAGTCATTAAACCATCAATAACACCTCTGCAGCATAGAGTCTCACATTTGCTCGACGTACGCCCGAAACTGCTCGAAAAGAGTCCGAGCGCCTGCTGAAAGTTTGGCCAGCGCTTTCTGAAAGAGATTATTTGAGAGCGCCCGCAGAAAAATCTGTATTCTGCCTTGCTAGCAGGACATTCGACAGTAAAGGAGGTACCGCCCGCTGAAGGTTTGGCCACGTCCCAAAATTCTGCTGACCGCCTGCAAGAAAACGCGAGTTTGCGGACCGCCTGCCCCCCCCCCCCCAAGATTATCTGAGGACTTGCAGCCATTTAATGAGTATATAAGGACGAGGTCGTAAACATGAACCAAATAGTTATAGAAATATAAAACTACGACTGATGAATTAAAGAATAACACTGGACTGGTGAGCATTCCCTCAAACCACAACTTTGTAGCGGCGTTCCCAGGATTTTCCTCCGGGGGGGGGGCAAAATTTTTTTTCAAATGAAGGTGCCCGAAAATTATTTGGGCTGCTTCTGAAAATTTTCGCGAGCCCCTAACCCCTGAAATCTAGAAAAAAGGGGCGTGGCTATCGGCGACAGCCAAAAAAATTTTTTTGCAAGACTTCTGATGGCAAGAAGCAGGAAGGAGCTAGAAGAATGATGTGCAGAAATGGAAGACTCAGTTGGAGCAGAATGGCTTAAGACTCAACACAGTTAAGACGGAGTACATACATGGAGCTTGGAGCTTAAACTTCTGGAGCCTTCGAATCGGAAATACGATGATAAGGAAGACTACCACGTTCAAGTGTCTAGAAAGCCGTATCGCAGCAGATGGAAGCCTTCACAAAGAGATACTCAGTAGGGTCAAGGCAGCTTGGTCAAATTCGAGAAGTCTCACAGGAGTTTTATGCGACAGAAGATACATTGGAAGCTCAAATCCTAGATATATCGTACGATAGTCCGTCCACTTGCCCTCTATGGTAGCAAATGCTGGCCGAGAACGCGCAACAACGAACGGAAACTCGGTGTAATGGAGACGAGAATGCTGCGATGGCCACTGGAGTTACCATGCTAGATGTCGCGACCTACTCCATCAGAAGTACAATGAAGGTTGCTCCGATCATCAAGAAGCTACGAGAGAAGCGCCTACGATGGTACGGACATGTAATAGGAGAAAAGCAATATACATGACAAGACTCGCTATGTTACTAAATGTTCCCGAAAAAAGGCCAGGAGTTATACCTAGAATGAGATGGATGGACAAGATTAATTTAGACCTAAGAGAGCTTCGATTAGATGGAAACCAAACATCGAACCGAGGAGAACGGAAGGACTCACAAGAGTAGCAGACCCCGTGTGAACGGGAAGATTCATGTACAAGTACGATTTGGATAGAAATTCAACTGGTCGGCTGACATTGATAGGAAATTGAAAAAGATTTCTCAAGGAAAGTAAGAAGGCGAAAATAGCTACAGTGGTAGTGAAAATATTTAACTTGTGATAAATCAATTCCATTGAGTTTACGCCTCAAATCTGCAGAGTTTTCGGAGGAGAAAGCAGTATTAGGCAATCTGTTGAAGGCAGCGTCTCAGAAAATCTGGACAAATGGGGATCTCATGTGGACTGTAATTTTGGGACCTTAACTAAGACACTGCTCAACTGGCAGCTTAGATGGTGCTCTAGAGGCTGAGATATTGGCCTCCGAATTGGACCCAGTATTGTATTTTGCATGGATTCGTAGCGCGACACATGAGGCATTGATCCTCGCGCGAAAGCATGCAAACACGATCAAGTCGTCCAAACAATGCGGTTCTGGGAAGTTTGGAGCCGTATATCTTAGCCGTTAGTGAGTCACTCGCGCTGCCGCTTGGGCCGTGCCTCGGTTAGGGCCCCAAAGTTACTTTCCACGTAAAATCCCCATAAGTCCAGATTTGTCTGGACGCTGCCCTTAAATAACTAAATGTTCTATAGAAAAGATTATTGAATGTCGACAGAAAAGGTTTTTTGTAAATATGAGGATAGTAATGTTAACTCTGCTCATGCTACTACTAGGTCTAAAAACCCGAATTTACTGAATTAAAATTAACATTTTTTCAGGTCACTTTGGATCCGTTGTTAGCTCTTATTTCACTTTTTTGCGATGGACTCTTGGGGTCAATGTCACTATGACTATTATTATGTTAATGTTCGTCATCATTCCAGAAGTGAGTTTTGTCACATCATTCAATTTTCATATTCTGCATCCTCATAATCCCACATTGCACGGTAAGGATAAAGTTCATCATGCTGAGAGAATGCGTTAACTCAATCTGCGACCCAACCCGAACTACGCGGGCTTGTATGTGATAAGATAATTTTTGTGAATTTTACAAGACTATTAACTCTGAAAGTTTTTCTTCGAAGTCGTAGGCTTGCAGATAATAAGAAGCATTCGAAGCAATCGGGGTCATGAAATAAGAGTATGTGTTAGACATATGGGTATTCCTAAAACATCAGCAACATCTTGAAGCTATCAAAACGAATGTGCTTGGAGACAGTGTCTTAGTAAAACTGATCTCGATCAGATCTTGCATACTGCATGATCATTAGTGACTCTCTTGCTCTATTGTCTTTCGAGTGCTACTGAGGTATCATTCTATATAGCTAGCTTCAACACGGGTGGGGGAACGAAAGCCGCCAGTTTGGGCTGCCTCCGCGGACTGCTGGTCCTGGAACGACATGCAACAACACTGCGAAAGGACCAGTTGGCCGCGAAAGGCGGCTCAAACTGGAGGCTTTCGTTCCCCTACCCCTTTAACACAGATTCACAGTATGAATTGAAAAACCATACTGGAAGTGGGTCCTTCTGAACATGCTCTAGTCGCAATGGCTGTGTAAGGTCAACCCGCCCAGAGACACTGCCGTGATTGATGTGTCGCCGCTGCGAGCGGTTGACCTAAGGAGGTGCGCTGCGTATCGAACAAGTTTCGGTTGTGACCTACTCTCTCCAAACCGTTGACAAAGGTACTAAAAGGCTAACGTCAACAAATTCCTGTTTTTCCTGTTTTACCTGGCAAGTTTGGTGCAATATTTTCAAGTAACATACTTCCCATATAACAAACACTGTGACTGCTTCGGCATCGAAAACTGTGCGCTCCTTCCTGCATCATGTATATGATGCTTGTAGGTACAGACGAGTAGATTTTCCGCTTAATATAGTGTGCTTGTATTGAAGGTTAAATGCAGTAAAATTTGCGCATTAAGAAATAGCTACGCCTGTGACGCCGGCCATTTGCGCGAGCAAAATGTTGGCATTACTGGCGCGGCTACTTGTTCAAGCGCAAATTTTACCGCATTTCACCTTTAGCGCAAGCACACTATATTAAGCGGAAAATTTACTCGACTGTAGATAGCACACTGTTTCATCTCGGAATCTTGTTAAGTTTGGGATTCAAGTTGTGCAGGGATGAGCAAAGATAAATCTGAATTTCATTTTGCCCGTCTTCTCCTTTACGCTGCAAATTTAAGCTGTTATTTACCTGGTAGCTATTTTGTAGAAGATAATTCAAATAAGCGCTAACTAACAGCCGAATGCATCACGTCAAAATTAGTGTGCAGAGCTTTGAAAATTAAAATCTGTATTCCTGAAAATTGAGAAGTACTTGTGGTAGAAAAGCAAACTGGTTAAAAATATGCTCTCGAAGCGTTGATAGGTGAGCGTGAGTTTCAGAGAACTAATCAAAATATTAGGTTGGCACATAAGTAATGCAACTTTTTACATAACTTTTGTCTATTTGAACGTAGCGCATCCATTTTTTGGCAACATAAGGATTATGATGTAAGCTTCTAATGCACACATTTTTGCCGAATTTTACCATCTTATGTAAGGATTACGGTAGGTTTACGGTACTATGGGGAAAATTTTAGAATGCATCAGATTTTGCTGAAACTTGGCCAATAAGGCTTATTTGACATGCTGATCACAAAAATGAGATCCGTTTCGCTTGAAAAGGCCTCGTTTGTGAGATCAAAAGGTAAGTTTCATTTTAGCGACAAATGAATATGATATTCGTGTTTATCGCATAGGATTACCCTATAGTGCAAAGTTATAGCGAATTCTGACTTTTCGCAGCTTAGTTATCGACAAATTGCCTTCAAAACTTGACGCATTTGACTTGTTTAACTTCTCAAAGGTGCCCCACCTTAATTTGTGTTTAAATTTCATTTCTTTTTCACTAATTCCAATGTGCCAACTTCCAGCTATATGGTGCCTATAATTGCTTTTTCATATGTTTGAATCAGGTTTCGTAGGGCTTCATGTTTGCCAAAAAATCGTGAAACCTCGATTTTCAGCAGTTTTCAAAAAATGCTTAGATTTTTTGTACTACGTTATCAAAAATCAAACGGTTTGCGCAGAGTTGCAGCTTACTTCACGATCTACATGATGCCAGAAAATGAGATTGCTACATAAAATAGGAAAAAAGTTATGGGAAAAGTTGCAAAACTTATGTGCCAACCTAATATTAGGTATCCTGTAAAGCTCCATGGAAGATTAGTATTTTGAGGTGTGAATCCAGGTTAGCATTTTTCCTCACGAAGCATCATGCAGTTTACAACGTCGGACGTGTGACATAGCATGAAGCAGAAAAGAGGCGCACAAGGAATATATGGGATAAAAGCGTTTATAGTGAAATGAAAAGACTCAAAGAATGGCCCGTAAATCCAACATAGTTGTAAAAAACAAACTCTCTTGATGAGTTCGGGATTCTTAGCTCACAGAATGGCAAGTACAGTAATACAGCCGTTAGAAGTGAAGTTGGGTTGGGTTGACATTACTAGAGCGCGCTGAGGTAGGCGTTAAAGACTCGTATGTTAAGCGTCTAAGTTCAGAAGGCCGTTTCCCAGCTATCTTTCTTCATTACGATAGGGTTACGGTAAGAACATAGAGGATTTTTGAATCAAGGGGCTTACTCAAGAGAACCAATCTTACACTTGGTCCATCAGAGTCGCTATTTCGAATATGAAACTTGCACTGCACCCAGGGCCCGGCACAGATTGTCTGAAAGCAGACTGGACTTCGTTTTTGAAGCAAACAGCAAAGGGGATATCGTTTTTGACGAGTCGGAACCGAGCACCAAGAATAAGGCCATTCAGTCGAATACAAGCTTTTCGGACAGGTTATAACACGATTGACATGCTCTATCGTGCATGGCGAAAAGTGCGCGCGATTTGAATGCAAGGCTTAAATAAACAAATTGCTTGTTTACAGCGCACACAGAAGCATATGATACCAAATTTGAACTGTATATATAGAAAATTATTTGCGAAAGTATTATGTAAAAAGATTTGGAAACTTATGTGAAGTAATACCTTTTCCAAAATTAGATCGTCTCCAGACGCCCACCAGACGATCTGAGATCGTCCGGAGCATATATTTTCGTCACTTCACATAAGTTTCGGACCTTTTTGCATGGACGGATTCCCCGGTCAAAAATCTATCCCTGAGCATAAAGACATTTTCATATCATTGCCTTTCCTTTGTTTTTTGCCTTCTTCTCGCTTTGTTAAATATCGCGCTCTAATGCTAGAGTCTTATGCATACGTAGTATTCAGCTCCAATTTGGATTTTCACTCTTATTTTACGTCTTTTCTTTCAAACTAGTAAATCTTTCTTGTTTTCATATTCTCCTAAGCAGGTAGGTCAAAGGGGACTTCGTAAAACTTCCGAAAGTCAGGGGAGACTTCGTTTTCAGAAACCCTAGAAACCGACTCGTGCCGGGCCCTGACTGCACCGTAAGCTTCTTTCACAAGAAATGCCATATTATCGTGCCAATTGCTTTAGGCCACTTCTTCGAAGTAGGTTTTCCATACTTCACGGCCGGTAGTAATCTACCCTATTTGATGGCATCAAAGATGCCGGCAGGTAGGCACGCATCGAAGGGAAGTTGCCATCTTCGGCGGCAGCTCGTGGAGAGATTGTAGGTTTCAATAATCTTATATGACCTTTGTACGCAATCATTTCGCACTAAATTTTGATGACGCAGACAGCCGCAAAACTGCTACCTCGCGCGCGGTCGAACCTAAATGCGTTAACTTCAAGTGCCAGCACGTTGACCATTCGACATTCGATCAAACATTTCCGTTTCGCCAGCAATAGTAGGAAATTGGTAGGTGGTTGCCTGCAAGAGGGATCGATAAATTGGGTGAGAGACTTTGACCTGAAAGTACAGCTGATTGATATGAGCGAGAGAGGGGCGAAATCAATGCAAACGAGATTTGGAAGGGATTGCCATAAAAGATGTTGTCTCTCATAGTGCTAAGGCATTACTAAATTTTTTCTCTGTAAGAAAATCGTTGTTTTGAAAACCTCATATAATGAGAAAAATGATAGTTTTTTAATGAAAAGTAGAATTTTTTGATTTTTTCGCTTAACGTAAATTGTGTGATATCGCCGCAATTCGCAAACTCACAGACGCCGTCGGCAAAGGTGCCAGCACCTCGACTGGTAGGGGCACGTTGAGATGCCTGCAGCTTCCACCCTCAAAAGAGCACACTACTTCTCGTGCTCTCTGACCTGCCGGCAGCTGCCACCTCGCGGATTTCGACGAGCTGCCGGCAGGTTGCGGACAACTGACCTCGCGGAGTTGCCGGCAGTTCCTCCTGCGCTTCCAGATATTTTCCTACAGGAGGATTTCTGGAACCGCAAATTTTGATGGAGGTTTCTGTGATGTCGAGGTGGCATCTTCAGGAGAAAATTTTTTGGAAAAAGGCCTGGGACGGCCTAAATTCGGGGTTTTAGTTTCTTGCCACCTCAGGAAATGTGCCAGCGACCTGCCGACGAGACCTCCCCCAGGTAGGGGGGATTACCACCGGCCCAGATGTCGTCCGATGTTCTTAACGTTCTACCAAGTTTTTTATACGGAGGAAATGCTTCCTATCCTTTGTATATCTACCCTTCTTTTCGCTATTCAGTATATATCTTGCTCTGGGTCTCGCTATTCAGTATAAACACCTTGCTCTGGGTTTTCTTGCAAGTGTGTGAGAGTTGTTGTTAATGCTTGCCTTGGCGCACCGTCGGTTCTCAAATCCCTCCTTTTCATGCATGTCCTGATCTCTGTGGTTTTTTTGACGCGCTTGCCGATTGAGGTTCTGAGGTCGAGAAGAGCGGCTTATGTTGAGGTATGCAGCCTTACCGGGAGTGACTTTGCAGTTCTTTGGAATTTTG